CACCTCCGGGGCAGGCGGGAATCGAACTCATGCGGAAGTGGCTTTAGCTTCTCAGTGCTGTGCTTTAACCCGCTGAGCCACCAGGGAGGGCCCCCATTTACTTCCTTTTTTAAGGTCTCATTTTCATCCTTCAGTTCATTATTTGTCTCATATCTTTTTTTTCCATTTCCATTCTTCAGTTCTTTTTTTTTCCTTTTCATCCTCTTCCCATGATTCTAAATTCTCTGATAGACTGGGCAGTTCTAAATTTTAGTTGTTTTCTGGTGACTGATCTTTCTGTGGTGAATTTCTCCCGTGGGTTTGGGTATTTGTGTTTCTCCTTCTCCCTGTCATTTGTTTCCTGGTGTTCTCTATGCGCTGAGACAATGTGTTCATTGCATTTCTTCTGGGTGCTCCTTCTAGGGTTGCCAAAAGCTGGTGTTCAGACCAGGTCAAGGACTAATGTGCCAATCCTCCACATGGATGATATTGTGAGTATGGTGTGGAGCGTGAGTACCTTATCTGGTGGCACCCTCTGTTTTTCCACTGTTTTAAGGGTGGTTGTATGTCTAGCTTCTGATTATGGTTGGGGGAGGCATGTTTTTCTTGATGACGGTTGTCCCTTAGGGCGTCTTTGCCATGTGCAGATTTCCCAAACCCTAATGGCATCTGGAGGGCACTCACTGGTGTTCACAGTCTGCCTGGGGAGCGGTGTGTGGGACCAAAACCCCAGTCAGGGTCTGCGCCTAGCTGTTCCCCCTTTCCCACTCATCCCTTGGGAAGGTTTACCTTATCTCTGCTCCTCACAGGCTTCCTAGAAGTGCTCTCTCCCTCTGGGGTACAGTACGCCCCTGTTCCGTGGTGCTGCTGCAGCAGTTGGTGGTCCTCACTGAGGTCCCCCAATTGCTCAAGAGAAGGGCCTGGTTGTGTGCGCTTTTGTGCTGACCTCTAAGGGAGGAGGGTTTACCTTTTCCCTATGCCCTAGAAGCCTATTTTATTTATTTATTCATACAAGAGCTGGAGAGTAGGCCAGAGACGTGGGGCATGAGAGGAGTCACCAGAGACAGAGTGGGGAGCAGAACAGGCAGGTCCACTGAAACATTGCTGAGGGGAACAGCAGGGAGACAGGAGAGGTCTGCTGGGCCATGTGGGTCAGCTCTCTGGCAGGGGATCGAATTCGTGCTGCAATGGCAATGGAGAGCTTCACAGTGCTGACACTTAATCCTTGTGCCACCAGGGAAGCCTCCTGAGACCTCTAAGAAATCCTAAAATGTGGAATGGGTACTCCTGGTACTTCCAGAACCACCTCAGGTCTCCTCAGGGGTGCATCTCTAGAGGAATCCCTTACCTGGCAGCCTACAAAGGTTGCCCCCAAAACAGTGTGCATCAACCTCACCATCTGAAGCAGCCCAAACTCATGACCACTGACCACACACTACAGCTGTAAGCGAAAGGCCTTCTGAAAAGCATGTGGGCTCTCAAGTTTTTTGTGGAGAGGTCCACTTTTCTTTGACACCCCCCACAAAGAACAGACTGAGAGTCACAGACCAGTGGTTTTGCTGAAGCTCCCGAGATTGCAAAATGTTTGGACTTTTTTCTAAGATATTTCATTAGTTTTTCAAAGAGGGCTATCACCCCCAAAAGGCAAAGAGACTGCTAGACACCCTCACAGATGCTGGGCAGGTGACTGACATGTATGCTGTGACAAATCTTCAGGAACTCCCTCACCAGTCCCACATCACACACACCCCAAAACAGAACCCTGTGCCTGCTGGCTACCTGTGAACCTAGTGAAGAGGAAACCTGTGTTCTCGCCGTGTGGAAGCTCTTCAGCAGCAATGAAGGGGGACATGAGGACAGCCACTGGCTCGGAAGAGTGAAGTACAGACCTGTGCCCAGCAGGGGCTGGCGAAAATCACTCCAGGTACACAAGTCCTCTATTTGCCAATCCTCGGGGTCCAGCCAGAAACCATAACTTCACTGTATAACTAGATCATTAAAAACACTGCAAAATACTGGGTGTCCTTCAGGAAAGGGAACCCAAAACTGGAATATAACCATTACTCATTATAATAGGTGAGGGGAAGGCGGAAGGGCAGTGGATATCAAAAGTTGCTGCTAGTTTTAAATCCACTACTACACAATTTCATGTTTTCATCCCCAAACTAAACCAAAGATTATATATAAAAACACAAAATGGGATTTTGCTGTCTTACAATCAGTTATATATTTCCCCAATAACACCACCACAAAATGGCAAAATGAAAATTATTTAATATACAAAAGAATAAGCACAAGAGAAATCGACAGCTATTAAAAGCATTATATAGTGCAAGTATCAAGAAGATACAGAGCGATTATTAACTTAGTGGTGCTTATGACAACATGGCAAAAACGCACAAAAACATGTCTTTCTTCATTTAGTGAGTGGGCCACCAGTCAGCGTCATTTGCAATTGCTTTTCTTCCCATCTTACAAGTTCACACACGCTAATGCTGTTGATGGAGGCTACCGGATTGGATTATGCGACCTGTAAAATTGCTTGTTTTCTGTTTACTGACAATGCATTTTATGCCACCTACTCAAGTGCATGGAGAAAGAGAATTTTATACAACAAGGCATAGCAAGGCAGTTGTAGCTGCTACAAACTGAGACGGTCCTCCCCAACTTTGCAAGAGAACCCTCTCCCCTAGGAGAGAGGCCGACGCCAAAGGAAGGGCTCGGGCAGGAGGCCTGGCCACGGGAGCAACAGAGGCTCTGCTAGGCAGGAATAAAGGGCTTGTGCTCATGCCAGGGCGTGAGGTATTGGTCTATCAAGTACACGAACTTGTAGCATCTCACCGAAGGCAATTCTAGGGTTTGTAGTTGCTCCTCCATACTGAATCCCCACAACAGACGACGAGGTAGAAAGACAGCATGTACACTCACTTCACAGACGCGAGAAATGGAGGCGCAACGTTAATATTGGGACTCGAGACAGAGTATTATTCCTTATCTCTATCCAAGGAGGCACTTACGGTTCCTAGCTATGGACTCAGGAGAGTTCTATTTAGAAGCAGTTTAAGACTTCTACTTTGCCAAGTGCTGGAGGTCACAAACATTTCATTCTCCCTTTAAAATATTGTCTACTACTTTTAAAGAGATTAAAGGGGGAGAAAAAAGAAGAAAAAGTAAATGAAAACATGAGGCAAGCCTACAGGGGGAAAGAACAAGCCTCCTGTCGTAGGAATGGCTGGCTTCCACTTCTTAGCAGAAACAACAGGGCGCTACTCCCCTCACTCTCTCACGTACACAAAGGAAGCCTCGGCCTCAAGATGAGTTTTATTAGACAGCAGCTCTCAGGACAGAGCTTCCGTCCTTATTGCTAGAATCCACTACCAAACCCCACAAGAGACACTCCCTGGGACCGAGGGGAAAGGGACGAACAGCTACTGAAGACACAACCACCCAGGGGGTGAAACAAAAGGCCTTTGGTATAAAAGCAATACCCATAAGCAGAGAATAATTCTGAACTGAGGGAGAAATCACAAATGGAAGGACGGGGGCTGACTATCTGAAAATAAGGTACTGTTTAAAAAAAAATGTCTTGGGGTAAGAAATTTGCGTGCTCTTCTTTTAACTCAAGTGTTGTAAAGTTGATTCTCAATAACACACTTGCTAATTATAGCAACTGTCTGAGACAGGAACTGTCCCGGTAGCCCTGTTTGGCCTGCTCAGTATCCTGGACCCTTGCTGTCCCAATGAGTTGTGCTTGTACCCGGAAGACAGAAGGATCCTGGTGGCAAGAGCAGCAGCATTCTGGAGCTGAGCTAAGCTACCCAGAAATATGAGCAACCTTTTTCAGCAAATATAACATTTGCAGTTATTGCAGAGGCTTCTGAGAGAGGTACAGTAAGCCTCAGCAGCAGAGATTCACTAACCTTCTCTCTAGCCATCACTGATACTAGCATTACTTGGGATTGCATCAAAAGCTCTCGAAATGCTTATGGGACATTCTCCCAGGAGAGAGATCTGTAGGCCTCCTAAAGGTTAAAAAAAAAAAAAACAGCAATGACAAACAACAACAGCGTGAACAGAAAGGATGTCTGGAAAACAAAAGTCCCCAAATTAGGTCTGGGGGAACCCCTTGACCTTCATATACTCATTTCCAAGTTAGCTTTAGAGACCTCAAAATTTTTCCTCATATGCTGAACTACAACTCTGCTATTCACAAATCAGAGAAGTTTCAGCAAAGGAACTTTCCAGCATTCTTTACGGCAGTGCAAAACGCTAGATACTGGTAAACACTGTACATTTTCACTTTTGGCACAGAGCAGAGCGCACAGGGTCCTCTATCTTTGAAGTGCGGCTTCTGAACACAGCTCCTAACCTACAGCCACCCTGGGCACGGGCACGGGCAGCCGCTCCACGCATATGTGCATGTGTCCACCCAGGAGGCAGGGGCAGCAAGTGAGCTCTTCAAGACCTGGGTCTGAACAGGCTAAGCAGAAAATCAGCTAAATGGAAAACAACAGATTCACAGTATCTCAAGCTACCTATTTCAGAAACTCACTTAACTCTCTGTGGGGGAAAATCCCAAACACCTGGCCACCAAGTTTCCTCTTTCCCAAAGAGAATCAAGAGGTAACACAGTAGCTGTAAAACGTGAGACTGAACAGCCAATTTCCCGTTAACTTTTCAAAGAAGTCAACATTGCATTAAATGGACATTTTAAAAGGTCATGTATGATCTTCACTGGCAAATATAAATTCTTCTGAACAAAATATCGTACAAAGCATTACATACAACTAAATAAACATAAATCACAATCAAAGCGCAGCTGCATTCCAATGCTTGGCAGTGACTCAACATTACATCAGACAAGGTCATGGCAGTGTGAGGCTGGCCTAGCTGGACATCCACGGTCAGAGCTAGGATGAAGAGCTTATGATACTCCACAGTGGGGCTACGGGTAAATGGTGCTATCAGTTGAAAGGCTTCATCTAAGACTTTCCAGAAAGTCTGATTTCAGTATTAAACACAAAGTTTACCAGACACAGTGCAAGTAGATAGTTAATATTAAGACACAGAGGACATTTGTAGCTACAATCTAGAAATGCAGTTTTTTCTAATAATGTAATTTATGCTCTGAACTTTATTCAGGATAACATGACGATAAATATTAATTTAAATAAGTAAAACAAGTAGTTTGATGCTCATGAAAGGACTCATCCACCACACGCCTGTGGTGTGACACACAACACGCAATTCCACCGACACCTACTTTAAAGTCTCACAATCAAGACTTTAATTCAAGCGCGGCTGCAGGCAAGGATGAGCAGAGAACTTAATGTTCAAGTGGACACCTCTGAGGGTAAAGAGGAAAGGAGCCTGACCAGACAGGATGCTGCAAACAGGAGTCAAGGCACTTGCTCAGAACACAGCCAAGGCCACGCTGCTGCAGCTGAAATTAAACGGTAGTGTTTGGAGTCCAGAAAAGCAGCCCACGAAGATTCCACACCCAAGTCAGGCAGTCTTAGTGGTAGCTAAGACAGAGCTGTACCGCAGCACAGTGCCCCTTAGAGCACTGCCTCAGAGTGTAAAACACTCCCCGTGGCATCAAACAAAGGAAGGGGGAAGATCAAGACGAGTTCGTTTACTCAGACAGGAGTAAATTCCATATGAACTCACAGCTACTTCTAAATAGCGCTAATGGAAGCGGTGAAAATCCTAGGGAGGAAAAGCTGAGGCCCAGGAGGATTCTGTGCTGGGCCAGGAAGTACCCAAGCTACCCTGAAATGGCTAGAAACACATTTTTTTAGATGTTCTTAAAAAAAGAAAGTTTATCTAAGGGGAATCGCAGGCCACAGGTGCTCATGTATCTTTCTCCCTACAAGCACTTGGCCAGCACATAGAAAACCCAAATTCAAGGCAATCACACCATCAGAAGAGCGGGTTGCCGGGAAAATGCGAGGTAACTCATCTGGAGTTTACAGCATTTACCACAGCCCCACCAAGCTCAGGCCTAGGAGGACTGGTTCTTCTTGTCCCCAGTGCCTGGAGACCGGACCCAACTTTCACTGCTGAGTCAGAACACTGGAGAAGTGGTTCAGGCTCCTCTGCTACCTTTAGCGGTAATTTACTGATTTTGTAAGACAGTCCAACATTTACTGGGCCCTGCCTCTTGTAGGAGAAAGTCACTGTTCTCGCTAAAGTTCTATCTTAGCTGTAAAGTCAGAGCTTCTAGTATGTTTAAAGGTTATTAGCTGTTCCAGATTCAACAAGCACCATCATTAAAATATTTAACAAGAGTTAAGTGAGGATTCAGTACCAGCATGAGTAGATCCTTGCAGGACTGCAAGCAGACAGTCGTTTAACCCTTTCAGCCTCATGCAAAATAAAAGGGGTTGAGTATAAGAGTACAGAACAGTTTGAGAATACTATAGCTTTCTAACTTCCTCGCTAGAAATCAAGCATGGTATTCAATAAAGAAATCTTGTTCTACTTCCTATACTTGGGAAAACTTCACTTCTAGGGCTGGGCTTCCAAAAAATGTGGTCCTGGACCAGCATCAGCTTCCAGCGATACTTGTTCAAGTGGAAATTCCTGGTGGGTGGGTATGCATGGGTGTGTGTGTCGGGGAGAAGCTGGGCTTTGCTTAACATGCAACCCAGGTGAAGTGATCATTCCAGGCCCTTAATTCTCAAAATGGTATGTTCATACTTTTTTTTTCCCCCCAATGGGAAATCAATCCAAAGATCTGTAAGGAAATCAATCCAAAGATCTTCGATTTCTATCTTGTACCAAGATTTACCACACTGATAAGACCTCTTCAGATTTACCACTTTTCTCTAGAGGCATCAAACATGACGACAAAAAGACTGGAGGGGAAAAAAGCCCCCACATACTCTCAAGACACAGAGGCCAGACTAACATAAAGAGAATTTTGGTGGAAAATTCCCTTATCTTTCTGTCTTAGAACTGTAACTGACATGGTTATATCAGAAATATATGTTAACATATTTGAGCTAAAAATAAAATCAAATATTCTGACTGAAAGTGGTTTGATTTGTCTGGTTAGTTTTATAAGGTCAGATTATGCCAGCTTATATGGTAAATGCTACAAATTTAACCAACTAAATATATAGCTCCATGGTTTGGACAAAAATATCTTTAAAGCACATACACAATTGATTGGCTAATAAACCTATTTTAAGTACCTAATCTTATTTAAAAAAATTAGAAATCAAATTAAGTATGTGCAAAAAGAAAAGTAATGTAGAATGAGATTCATAAAATGGTAGAGAAAGAAATATAAGGGAATGTCCTCAGGTGACAAACATTCTGTAACTTGTCTGGTACAGCTGTCAACAACACAGCTAAGGGCACAATGAATTATTAATTATACCTCTTTTTTTTTTTAAATGTGCAAAAAGTTAATATATACTTTTTCCAAACTCAGGGGGTATATTAGCAAAAATGTTTGATACTGTTATTCTAGGAACATGTGGAAGAGAGCTCTTGTTTTCTAAGACTTTCCTTTTGTGCTCTGACCACACAGCCTGACTGCAACACAGTGACCTGTAGCACCGTACTATCACTGGGCTAATCAAATCATTTATGCTTTTTCACTGTTAGCTTTATATTTTTCTAATAGCCACTCTGGATTTTCATGCCTAGAAACATTCTCTAACAGAAGAGTAGAGATTAACTAAAAAAAGTATTAGTCTTCAAGTAATTTGGTGAGTGAATGAATATGTCACTTATACTGGCAGGCGCTCCTAGACCCACATCTTTGAAGGGAGAAGTCACTAACATATTTCTTCGTGACAATAGGTCCCGAAATTGATAACCTAGTTCTAAAGGACTCACTCTCATATTCCATGTAAATTTAGAAGCACAACTGTCCTAGAACACAGATGTCTGCATGAGTTAATGAACAGGTATGATGGGTCACACTGAGGGGAGAGACTAAATGCTGATGGTTTAATATATGACCAGGTCATATTAGTATTTCTTTGCAATTCATTAATTCTACTATGCTATAAAAACCTTAATAACCAGCTGAATCTCTTTCTTGCAAATAGGGCATGAAGCCCCAGCCTTCTTTAATCTTCTAGCACAGTGAAAACAAGTGACAAGATGGCCTGTCCTCCCATGAATAATGTTCCCATTTCGTGGCCTTTTTTCACACAGACTACAGGGCTTCAGGAGATTCTGGCAGTCTTCTATGTTTTCTGCATCGGTTCTCTGTTCAAAAAGGTTATCTGTTTGTTCTCCCATGCTTGATATAGTCTCTTGGCTTTCAGAACTATGAGCCAAATCCAAGAATTCCACCGAGTTGCAGGAATCAAAATGTCTGGGGTTTTCTTCCCTTTTGTATCCATCTTTAGGTCTAACAACTGGAGCTGATATTGTTCTTCTGCAATCAGGGACATCAATTCCTTCATTTTCCTTTTCTGGTATGGCAGTGATATCAGACGTGGAGAGAGAATGGGTTAACTTAGAACAATCTGAATACCAATCCTTCCTCAAGGCCCAGCACCGAAAACAGTACCTCTTGCTTGGAGAGTTAAATTTCTTGCACTCAGTACACTGCCACTCATCCTGAAAAGACAAGCGCAGCCAGTGAAAACTCACACGGTGGTGAACAGGACACTGATAAAGTAGGTGGGGACGGCAACTCCTCACTATTGGCTAAGCCAGCGGGAGTTCAGACACTCCACGCCAGTGGGCTAGCCTGGAACCTGGGCAAATTCTACACCTAATGAAGAAACTCTTGAAAAGCTTTATACTGATAGTAATATAATTCACTTAATATATCTATCTTCAAGAAAGTTCATTGTTTTGGCTTTCTACCTAGTTTGGGTGGGACTGCTTGCTTCCCCCTGCCCCGCCCCCCAACTGCCTTCTTTTCTAGGTTCATTTTTCTTTGTGCATTTTACACATTTAAGAGTTAAAGAATGAGAAAAAGAAACCCACTGTTGTCATTTTTGCCTAATTAACAAATGTCATAAAATTTGGCAAAAAACATGCTAAGTTAAAATGAAATTTGAAAACTACTAAATGTATTCAAGTTCTCTCACTGCTCTCAGGACCAGGTAGTCAGTTGTACACCTAAATCACACTCTTCGAAAAGTCAGTATTCTTTTTTTTTTTAAGACGTAACTTATTTGTTTTAAAGATTTATTTTACTTATGCAAGAACTGGCATATAGGCCAAAGGTACGGGGTGAGAGGATTCACCAGAGACAGAGTGGGAGCAGAACAGGCGGATCTACTGAAATACACCGTTGAGGGGAGCAGCAGACAAGGCAGGAGGGGTCTGCTGCACCATGTGGGTCACCGCCCTGGCAGGGGACTGAACTCGGGCTACAGTGGCTAGTGAAAGCTTGATAGCACTGAAACCCCTCTGCCACCACGGAGATTATACCCAGGCCCCCAAAAAATCAATATTACTGTCCTTGAATACCAAGTAACTTTTTTTCCTACTTCTCTATATTCAAATAAGGTAAAACTAGAGTCCAAGAACTTTAATGGCTTGCTTATATCAAAGGTAATTAACTACAAGTCAAGAGCATATAATGTGGGTAACTGGCTGCCTCTGACAGATTCAATGATTTGACACAGGCTGATTAGATTACTTTTAGAATATGAGCCAAGCATTTCAAGTTGAGAGGTCATAATTCAACTGCCTAGACTAAAGGCAGGGGCATGATAATTTGTTAAAACTGGGTTGTTCTCTAGAGAGCCTCAAAACATTTTTGCCAGATACTCATATTTTATCTACAACGCTATATACTCAAAAGAATTTCTTGAAGATTTGGAAATGATAATTGATGATGTCTCATAATCTAATTGTTATTACTTTCCCCTTTTCAGTAGTATAGAAAATAATAGGACTTATTAAATTCAATGGCATCTTTGATTTGATGAAATATAATCGATTTGCTTAATAGGTTTTCTAGGCCCAAGCAGTCACAGAAGTTTGATTAAGATGGATATACTTATCTCTGCTATTTATATTATGGTCAAGAGCACTTAATGGACCAATATGTTCCACTTTATTACTTAGCTATACACAGATAATTTGCCATGAAGCACCATAATGGCCAACAGGGTGTTAGGAGGGGTTGGGAGGTAGCAGTCATCACTAGTGACAATCTACATTTTTCTATTCATCAGCAGCAACATATAAAACCTGTTCCCTCCCTCACCACCTTTCTCCCCACAGTGTATTAGCAAGGGGAAGCATTTAAAGGACAACAGAGAACTAGCATGTTTAGACATGAGGTTAGACAGGAGTGTCAGCTGGTAACAAATCCAAGCCTACGAACCTAATAGCTTAAAGCTGAACATCATTCTGCCTCAAATGTAAACCTGTATGGAAATTAAGTTATTTCTCATGTTTCCTTTTAACAACCATTGAAAATGTAATTTTTATAGAACTTCAGGTAACTGTAGATCTGCCTTTGGGATTACGGAGAGGTATTTGGTGGGAAAGTAATGCAGCACTGTTTTATATAACTTGTGTATCCAATGCAACAAATTCAAAGAGTTTTGACAGCAGGGAGACAGGCAAAAGAGGAGAAATCATCTCTTTCCAAGGTAGGAGGGATCAGATTAAGTCTCCCCATCTCTTTCCAAATTCCAATAAAAATCTGTAAGATGTGAGGAAACCGACATCTCTAGGCGCTAGGAGAGGCGGGCGGAAGAGGCTGAGGCTAAACGCATCTGTGAGCACAAGTGAGCGCTGCAACCGTGACAGCCGACGACGAGGGCGGCCTGGCAGGCTTCAGTTGAGACTCATACCTCAGAGGTAACTTCTACATCAGTGTCATCACTTAGGGACTTAGAGTCCTCAGGGTCATCATTTTCCCCCACTTCAAACAGCTGTGAAGGCAAAGATACCACCTTAGTAAGGTTTACCTAGTTTAGATGAGGCTATCACCTGAAAGCGAAAAAGACATTTAAAATTCACATTCTGCTCCATCACTACCAGTTAAAAAGGAGACAGCTTAACTCTGAGGGCAAAAACGTAACTCTGCACACACCTAGCAGAGCTTTCAAGAGCATGAATGACGGAGAAGCACCAGAGGGGCTACCAAATCATCTTCTTCCCTCCGGTGGGAGAGGCTGATCAAATGTATGAATTTAAAGAAAATACAGTGTCTGAGTAGAGATGCTATGTAAATGTGGAATTTTTTCCTTAGAAATCTAGGTAGGCAGGCATTCACAAGGACTCGGTGACAAAACTGAAGTGAAAAGCACTGTATAAAATAAGGGACTTAGATGCAAAGAATGAAAATGAGTATTTTAAGTTTTTACTTTTCATATTCAAAAGTAAAACTAGTTATGCAATTCTCGACTGTCCTAGAAAAGCATGCCTATCGACCAGGAAATGATGTCAAAAACTGTAGGAAGTGTCTCTGAAATTAAAAAATTTAGAATTTTGAAATCCTAAAAACTCTATACTCCAGAAATATAAATATGACCAAAAGGGACATTAAATAAAATAAAAAAGGGATGGGAAGGAAACTTAAAATTCTAAAAATTAAAAGCCTACTTCTGCAATGCAAAACACAAAATAACCAAGTATGACAGAATTGTAAGCCTCTGTATAGAAACTTTCTCACAAAAGTTCAAGTACTTAATTCTCTATAGAAGTTTCCAAGTGTCATCGCTGGCTTCATTCTAGCCACTTGAAACCCATACAACAAGTCTAACAAGAAATCCAAGCATCTATCTGCTAAACACAAAAATATCAGAAGATCCTTTGGGACACCAAATCACTACGAGAATCTCTTGAATTAAAAGGATGACAGAATTTGGGTGTCTTTCTTACTATATTTACTTAATGTTTACCAAGACTCTTGTCTGTCAGGCGTTGCCCAATCTGAGACTTGAACACACACTTGTAGGTCCCTTCATCTCAAAATCTCACTCCTCTCCCCCTATTTTAACTCAACTATTTTCCATTCAGATGTAAATTAGTTATGGAAGCTATTATAATGTCTAAGAAATAATATTTCCCTACAGGCTCTTTTGGCTATTCAGAACTCTGCCTTTTCAGAAAAGCAAGATCTCCAGAATAAAGAACATCACAAAGGGAGGCTAACCATTTGGGGAAAAGTAGATAGTTTTACTCCTAACAAGATAGTTTTATCCATGATCATATCTTATTTTTCAGGCAGTCTCTGTTAACTTAAAGTTGGACATAAGAAAATGTCAGAAAAATAAAAAGGGGGACCATGCGAGTCACTTGTGCAAGGTGGTATGGGTATGGTCACCAGGTCTGAACAGGTTCACGCTTTTCCCACAACAAACCTTTTCATCTCTCACTTTCCCTACTTCTTCTGATTGTTCAGTATCTGTAGCTTCAACTTTTATTCCAACACCAAACTGCTCTGACACGGACTCATTCAAAAACCACAAGTCATCTGTGGTATCTGAAACAATGGCCGTACCTATATCCTAGTAGAACAAAAAACAAACAAGAGTTTTGTAGTCAGAGGTTTATCAAAGATGCTGAATAAACATGCAGAAGCCCAAATTCAATGTCTTCACATATTTCTCAAAGGATACCCAGCCTTCCCTTAACAAACATCTATTCATTCAGCAGATTATCTACTGGACGCCTAGAAGCTAACAGATGGACATAAAGGTATCTAGCAAGAAATTTTCAGTTTTAATGGCACATCAGATTTAATAGTAAATCAGGTATAACACTTGAGAAATACCAGAGCTCAGAAGGCAGGATTCATTGTTGCTCAGCCAAAAAGAACCCATTTCTTACATTCCTTTCCCACTGGTGGCACTCTAAGAAGCTAGAAAACATACTGCTTCCCTTTAATAGTGAGTGATGTTTATTGAAGAAATATGAGAAATACAGATTGTTACTCAAACTTTTTGTTCTTTCTGAATTCTTAAAAAACTTTTTAAAAAACTTTTTTCCACAGTCATCTACATTTGTGAAATACTTTCCTACAATATTCATAAAAGACAACTTTTTTTTAAGATTTATTTATGCACACAGAACTGTGGTGCAGGCCAGAGGTGAGGGGGATGAGAAGATTCACCAGAGGCAGAGCAGGAAGCAGAACACAAAGACCAATACTGCTGAGGGGAGCAAGGGTGGGTCAGGAGAGGTCTGCAACAACATGTGGGTCACCTCCCTGGCTGGGGATAGAACTTGAACTGAAGCAGCTGCAGCGGGCTTCACAGTGCTGCTCTTTAACCCACTGCACCACCAGGGAGGGCCAAAGACAACTTATTATCCTGCCACTATTAGATACCTATTCATCGGCATATTGAACATATTGAACGCCCGCTATGTATCAGATACTGTTCTAGGTACTAGGCAACAGAGGAATAGTGAATACAAAAGGCACAGATGTGATTTCAGAGGAGGTAAACATAACAGACACATAAAGTCTAATAACAAGTTTTATAAAGCAAGAAGTGCAATGAAGAAGCAGGATGATGATGGCTTGAATTACAGTTTGACAATGAAAGTGGTTGGTAAAAATGGTTAGATTTCACATATACTTTGAATCAAAAATTGATAATCATGACAAAGAAATCAATGCTATCCTGTGACATCTGGCTGGAAACACTGAGTAGAGGTAAACTAAAGACAAAGGCTTAGAAAGAAGTGTTTGGCAAAAAAAAAAAAAAAAAAATCAAGACTCGAGAGTTCTGAGTATCTCAAATGTTGGATCATCTAAGTGGCAGTGTTAACTGAGCAGGAGACTGGGCATGAACAGACATGTCAGGACTGAAGACAGACCAAAGCATCACAAGCACACAGCTGGCACTCACAGAAACAGCACCACACGGGTGCAAGTCTGTAATTCTTAGACAACGCACTGTGTGGTCAAGAGTAACCAGACTGCTGCTTCTCTTTCAAAAGGAAAAGCACCCCCTTCAAATGTGAAATTTACCTGATTTGTCTGTAAATCAGTTGAGCCATTACTTCTAGGTGTATAGTTGTTTCTCAAGTTTCCTAAAAACCACCAAGGCAGGCCGGCTACATCCCATTCCTCAAACCCAAGGTCCAGTCTAGAGGTCTCATCTTGAGTTAAATTTTGTATCAAATCTTCATCTACAGATGTCAAAAGAATGATCACTTTGTATACAACACTTGAAAATTAAGACTCTTTATAATAGCTACAATATTTTAGAAGTAAAAAGAAATTCTTGTTCCCAGTGAGAAATAACCAGAAATCAAATAGCTGTTTCAGAAGCAGGCCCCAAATCTCCTCCCATTAAAGTTTCATTAGCAAATAGAGGATCATATATAAAGAAATATAAGCTATGAGAAAACGCTAAACAATGACACTGCTCTAAAAGAATGTCTGAAAGGTCAGTGACATTCTCAACATTCCGAGTGCCTTGATAAATGACATGGTCGAGTACATGATGCCTGGCGGTGGCATGACCTACTGGACTGCAAACTGGTGAGGCACGGACAGGAAATGGCCAGCACAAGGCTGTCTAAGCAGTCTTCCTGGCACAGCCAGTATTCTGGAAACATTTTTCAAAAATTCATGTTTTAAAGTACAAAACACTGAACTCCAGGTTGCTCGAGCATGTATGTTATAACCTTTTTGGCTCAGTGAGCTCTGCTGGAGGGAGGATACCTAAGAACTAGAAATAGTTCAAGGGAAAAAATCTCCAGTTGTACATCTAAATGATATTCAGGGTAGTTATTAACAATTTTGTTGCTAACACAAGAAATTCTTTTTTCCCCACTATCCCAATGTTTCTGTGCTGCTTTGCGATTTCCCTACTTTCTTACTCTCCTCTACCTCTTCCCAGATGTTTGAAAAAATTTATAAATGGGTCCCTGCCAAAAGAAAAGGGTTACGCTATCTACTTAAAAAGGACATTGATCCCACCTGCTAATAGGGTTATCTGCACCCAGAGAAACTAACCATCTCTGTTCCTCACTATTAAAATGATCAGAAACCAAATTTTTGAGTTGGTTACTTATTAAATGGTATCTTCATTTATTCAAGCTCTATCAACTTACTGTAAATGGAATGGAAATAGGTCATTCTTTCCTTGTATAAAGAATTCTATCCTTTCCATCTGTCTACCTTCCTGGAAGGCTAAGCTATTTCTTCTCAAAATTTCCACAAACTACATATAGTCTCTTTAATTGGCTTTTTTTTATAAGCAGCCTTTTGAGTTGAAAATGGTCAAGAACCTGAATTAAAGAAACAAAAGTACACATTTAATGCCAAAGAGGAACAGTTCCAAAGTAACTAGGCAGCCTTCAACTCTTCAAATGCAATTTGAAGAAAACTATCCAAACTGACTGAAGTTTAATGAACATTTAAAACGGTTCAAGCAGAATAAGCTCCTTGGATGTTTGTTAGAGGCTTAACCTGCCATTGCTTAAAGTTTAAGTTTGAGGTTCCTAGACGAGAAAGATCACGACATAAAATACCTCTGAGGTACTTAGAATTTAAACATCTTTGCAGAAAGTTTTAGAGATCTTTTATAAAGTCAGGTTTCAGGAAACTTTCAAAATATCTATTAACTCATGCAGTCCAGCCACATCTATGGATGTGGCAAAGATCTGGTAATAGCCATCCAAGAACAGAGAGCCACCAGGTTTCTTCAGTCTCATTCTTGGCTCTAAGTCCTTTAGTATATTTACCACTTTAACAAACTTCAAAAATCTAAGAAAAGTAGCCACTCACAGACTAATCAAATCAAATTTCTGACCAGGTGGAATACATATGGGGTAATTACAAGTGAAGGCAGCTTGAGTTACCAAATGGCAAACTGATAATGTGTTAATTTTCATTAGCATGCCAGCTAGGAGGGTGTGTGCCCCTCACAGTAGTCCTGGATTGCTCAAAGAGTACTAGCATCTTCTTCAAATTTAATGGTAACCAAGTTGAGAAAAAGGTTTTTGGAAAATAATGATAAGTATGACATATGCTCTCCTACTCCACATGTGAAGAGACAGCATTATTATTATTGAATTCTCTATATGTGGTCTTCATTTAGCAAGTGCTTAACATATTAAGCACCATTATATAATTTATAACAATTATAAGAAGTGCTTAACATCCAATTTCTAGATGGCAATTTCTAGAAACTGGAAGAAGGGGAGGGGAAAGGAAGAAGGGTAAAAGAAAGAGGGAGATTGCAACTCAGATGGAAAAATGCACAAAATGATGTAAAAATAAACCATTATATTATTAAAAAAGAAAGAAAGAAAGAGGGAGAAGGGTCATCTACATAGACTTAATCCAAAATTACCTCCTCTAGAATTCCTGCACTTAGGCTGTGAGGTAGGCAGTGTGGGAATATTGCCTTCTTCCGTTCTCTTCCTGGAACTGGAACTTTCTTCTGCACTTTGCTGAAAAGAAGGAAAAGGCACCATCAGTGCAATAGAAATGATTGAGACCAGGGGATGTAGCAGTTCTATTCTGGCTCACCAGTTAGTGTGCAACACAATGGGTTACACACAAAAACAGAATTCTGACATTCACGACAGTCATCAAGTAATGGCAACATCTGCAACACAGTTAGAAGAATCCCAAACCTGGGGGGATGAGGGGGGAAATCTCTGCACAAAAGGCCAAAATCTGTTAAAAACAGGCTATAAATATAAAACATTTATTACAAGTGTAGGCATAATTCAGAAAGCATGTGAAACTTCACCGTATACCAAGATGACCATAAAGTTTTCCCAGGCTTGGGGAGCTTTAAGAAATGGCCTGACAGGAACTTAACTGCAACAAGTCTGTTAAAATCTAATGAAGCAGTTTCTTCAAACATCTTGTACATACACCATCACACATACAGGCACACATAAATCCCAAAGAAAATGCAACTGGAAGAACTGAAGATCAGAAGTGCTACATCCCAAAAAAAGATTCAGAGACTGGAACTCTGTTATGGGCAGAACAGAGAAGGTTCACTCTGTCCCTGGTCTGTGAACTCCCAAGAACCTTTCTTGTTAAATTCTTACCACATTCAGGAAAGGACTTGGGAGTCCAAGAGCCACAGGTACAGAGAAGGGGCCACTCTGTACAACAAAAAAGGTCACCGTGTGGTGATTTTACCTGCAGTTGGTCTTGACCTGGAATATCCATACTGTGATCCTGTGCGAGAGCGAGAGTCTGAGCAGCATCTGGATAGCAAGTGAAACAAAAGGAAAACCTTCCCTGGTAATAACCATTCAGCCACAAAAAAAGGGGCCTCAGCAAACAACTCTGGAGCCAGGTATGGTCCCTAGGAAGTACTTCTCCATGTTGCCTGGACAGACTCTTATCCAAAAGAAGGGGAAAAAAACTAATAAAAATTGCAAAGACCAAAACAGACTATTTTCAAAACTTACTGCCAAAATATAATCTGGGGAAAATGAAAAATGGCTAAAAAATGTTCTTCCATAGCAAGCTTCCAAACTGAGAACTGAGGTGAAGCAGGGAATAATGGAGAATATTATCATCTCTTCCTATAGTGTTTACTACCAAGTATGCCTAAGATGTAAGCAACAACAAAAAGAATTGGCTTTTTAATTTTTATCTTCAAGTATTAAAATTCTACAGGGTTCTGTGATTTGAAATCTGGAATTTTCCTCAATTGCTTTATAACACTAGTATCCTTCATGTAAACCTACATTCTAAGTGTCGATTTCACAATTTAAATTCCCATCAATTAAAGACAGATTATTTTTAAATCAAAAGTTTTACTTTTCCCATTTAGAGGAAGCAGCTAGTTTTTCTCAAAGTCAAATAAAAGAAGCAGAGAAGGGCCTCCCTGGTGGTGCAAGGGGTTACTTCGAAACACTAGGAAGCTGTCTGCAGCCACTGCAGCAGGAGTTCAATCCCTAGGCAGGGCGGTGACCCACATGGCACAGCAGGCTTCTCATGACCTGCCTGCTGCTCCCCTCAGCAGTGAATTTTTTTCAGTGGATCTGCCTGTTCTGCTCCCCACTCTGTCTCTGATGGATCCTCTCACCACCCACACCTCTGGCCGGTACCCCAGTTCTTGTTATGAAGAAATGAAAAAGAAGCAGAGGAAAACAATAACTTGATAGAAGTTCTTAGTTTCAAAGAAATAAATTTCAAGAGCTTGAAAAATGTTCAAGCAGAAAAAAGGAAGAAAATTTAGTTACAGGGAAAGACTACTCACTACATGAAGCTCTATAACCGAGATGTACCTAAGTGAGTCAGTCTATTCTGTGCAGGTCCAAAGGAAAAACACTCATGGAAGACAAAGATGGTCAGAGAAAGAATACAGATCCTACAACTGATCTGACAGTTCAGTTGTTTTGCCCAAAATTATAGACAGCGTTATTTGTAAAGGTATTTTTATAGCTATGGATACTGACAAGTTTGAGAGACAAGATGTTTTAACTATAACATGCTTCAAAGATTAATACACACACAAGTGAAGTTTTTCAACTAGTATCATTTATAGGGCTAAAGTCTTACAATCTTTCCTATGTTAAAACAATTAGAAGTATAAACAAATACATCTGGTGAAACTAAATGCACAAAGGAATTTTAAAATAAAAATAAGGAGCCTCCCTGGTGGTGCAAGGGGTTAAGCAGCCACTGCAGCAAGTTCAATGCCCAGCCAGGGAGCTGACCCACACGGCGCAGCAGACCTCTCTTGTTTCATCCACTGAGCCCCTCAGCAGTGTATTTCAATATATCTGCCCGTTCTGTTCCCCACTCTGTCTCTGGTGGATCCTCTCACCCCCAGTACCTCTGGCCTACACCACAGGTCTTATATGCATAAATAAATACATCTTAAAAAAAATAAGGTTAAACATGTATTTTTCATTCCATTAGTATAAATGTAGAAAAATAAAGAATTATTAAAAAATTAGAGAAATGTCTTTATAAAGAACTACCTTTACTTTAATGGCATTTTCTTTAGCCATCAAAATAAAAGCTTTAATTTATTAATTTATTTTGTAATGCTGTAAAACAGCGCTATGGAAAATACTGCGTACTTTTTATTTTGTCAAATAAACACATGTAGCACAGTTTATGAACATGAAAGAGACAGCCAACCATAAGTACCAATGCAAGTCCAAATCAGAGCAGACAATCAATCAAAAGACTTTGGGGCAATTCCCTAGTTTTGAACATTGTACGATGGTTATATAAAGATGTTACCATTTGGGGAATCTGGGTAAAGAGTATATGTAACTCTTTATAATACTGTTAAGCCACTTTTTTGTAAGTACAATTATCTCAATGTGACAAATTAAATAACAAAATGTTTTAAAGACATAACATTATGAAAAAAATGTGTTGAGAACTTGAGGGAAATTCTTGAGTCCTAGTGGTTAGTCTCAGCACTATCCGCAGCCAGGGAGCTGACCCACGTGCTGCAGCAGACCTCTCCTGTCTGACCCATCGCTCTCTTAAGCAGTGGATTTCAATAGATCCACCTGTTCTGCTCCCTACTCATCTCTGATGAACCCTCTCACTCCCCTCCCACACCTCTGGCCTGCAACTCCAGTTCTTATGTGCATAAATAAACAAATCTTTTTTTTTAAAAAAAAAAAAAAAGGAATGGTTATGGGACCATTAAAGAATGGTAAGAGCAAGGACTGCCCATTCAGAAACAGCTGTACCGCTACCACCACTGATCCGTTGCATCTGATCTTGAGCACGTTACCTATCTAATTAAAAAACAAACTTTCAGTGTCTCCATTCCCAGACCTTTCTCACAAGGTTGTTGAGAGGATGAACTGAAATACTTGTTATAGAAATGTTTGTTTTATATATACAGCCTGTTAAATTCTGCAGATGAAGGAAAAGTAAGAAAATGAGAGAGTAAAGGTAAGAGCTATACCTACTCTGGCTATTCAGACAACAGATCAATCAGAACAAATCTGAGAAAAAGAGCAGATCAACAAATATAAAATCATCTGTTTATTTCAAGTTTTTAGCTACTATTCCTGGAAACCACACCATTGCCGTACCCCCTCAGACAGAAAGTTGTAACTGGGTAACATGGGCAGATTGTCAATGAAACTAGGCAGTTTCAAAGTTCAATGTAAGTTCAAAATCATCTTTCAATATCAGAGTAGTTTTTTGGCTCTCACTTTAAAGCATAAATCTTCATTAGGGAAGAATTCTTTTCAACCAATTTGTTTCAGGAAACTACTAAAAGACTGCAAATCAAAAGGGACCACGAGCTTGGGCTTTCTCCAAAGGACAATGTTACCGAGAATCTAATCTGAAACCCATACACAGGTTTCATGTAGGAACAGGAAAACAGAAAGTTTCATTACTGGGAAATAAGTGTGGGATAGCTACAGTTTAGTTATGTCCACTTATTCACTATCTCTAAAGCAGTGGTTTCCTGAAAATACCGAATAAATTAAACTCAAAAAACGGTATTTAAGAGTATGGAATCAAGCAAAGGGTTAGACAATTAGCATTCAAAATAGAAGTGATAAACACATTAATCACCACCACAAGGGCGCTATCTACAAACTCTAAAATGCTGAAAATGATAAGGGAAAATCAATCCATTTCTTCACCAAATGATACAAAAGCAAAAGGAGGATTAAGTTGTAGAAAGATACTTACAAGACATGTTAGCCAAACGCAACATAAGAAATTTGCTTGAATCCTGACTAAAACAACTCAAATGTAAAAGATGTCTGAGATAACTGAAACTATACATAAAACAGCTAGTGGATAGTATTATGGAGTTATTTATCATTATTAATTTTGTTGCATGTAATAATGGTACTCTAATGGCTGGATTTTACAAGTGTGGATAGGTGAAGCAAATATGGCAAACTGTTAACAATTACTAAGTAAGAGATGGGTACTATCAACACTAATCTATGTTCAGGATTATCTGGAAATCTCAGTAACAGAGCAATAGCCGACCGCACGAGCCATCCCCCAGCCACGCCCTGACAGCCTCCCATGCCCATCTGGACCCTGCTCTGCGTTCCCATTATTTGCCCCCTTGAAGAATGAAGAAATAGGATTTGACGTACCTGTAGTAGTGGTGGCTAAAGTGACAAGATTCTTTCTTAGCATATCATAGAGAGGGCTGTGAGAAAATAAAAAATAAAGTGAATATGGCTTTCCATTAAAATGTTAAGTGTATTTCTGATAGGCTATTTCCCAACTTTCCCTACAATGTATGTATACTATTTTATGCAAAACAGATTCCTCAAAATCTAAGAATTACATAAATATCAAGATGTAATGCCCACGCCCTTGCATTATTTTGTCACCAATAAAAAACCAATTTACATTAAATTTTATTAACAACAGGAACCCAAATGGAGAGACTTCCTTAGGAGACAATCCCTTCTGGGACTTAAGTTTTTTTGTTTGTTTTGTTTTTTTAAATAATATAATAGTTTATTTTTACATCATTTTGTGCCTTTTTACATCTCAGTTGTAATCCCTGTGGGCTTCCCATCACCAAATCACCTGTATGATATCACCACTTTCCAGTGCACTTCCCCCCAACCCCATTTTTGATACCATTCTCCACTCCACCCATGTCTCTGGTATATAGTTGTTCATCATTATTATATTTTCCCCTGGCCCTTTATGCTCCTGCTATGAGTGAAACCATCTGGGTTTTTTTTCTCTTTCTGGCTTATCTCACTAAGCATGATCCCTTCCAGCTCCATCCATTTGCTGCAAAAGACATGAGTTTATCTTTTTTGATTGCTGAGTAATATTCTGTTGTGTATATGTACCACATCGTACTAATCCAGTCGTCTACTTTTGGGCATTTGGGTTGATTCCATGTCTTTCCTATTGTAAATAAAGCAGCAATAAACATGGGGGTGCAGGTGTCTTTTTGAATCAGTGTTTTTGTGACTTTGGGGTAGATACCTAGGAGTTAAGTTTTACATTACAACTGGGACTGGGAGTGGAAGGGAGTCTACCAAGGTAAGACAAAATGGACTCAGAAGAAACAGTCACCACAAAGCTACAGAATGAGAGAGAACACTGGATTCTCAATTATTAACTAGCTTTTCACTGTGTGAATAACCACACAGTCCATGCGCCTAGAGACAGTCACATAGCAGGTCGGAGTAGTTCTACTGTGGTCCTCAGGAAGCACTTCATCAATCTCAAAGCGTCCAGCAAGTCTACATTTCCTTCACTTGTTCATTCATCCCCTCTTTACAACTATTTCACAAAAGTATAATCTAGCCACATGAAATTCCCTCCTATCCAGACACATAACGTGATGCTCAATCTGCCTGAAGTTCTCCTTCAACCAGCCCCCTGTAGCTGACACTTTAATTACCCTTCAGATATCGGCATAAACAGCACTTCCTCAAGGAGCATTTCTATACCCCCCAAAATCCTAAATCCCACACCCCCCAAAATAGAGTTATGTGCCTTCTTTCTGCAACATTCTTCATGGTACAGTTTGGTAAGCAATGGAGTGATAAGTTACTCTCTCTCACACTAGTCTTTAAGATCCTTAAAATGAGAAACTGTTGCTCCCTATTCTATTCTCAGTGTCTTGGTGGCCACCTGACAGATGCAGACACTTAAATATTTGTTGAAATAAAAAGTCATTACCATTATAACCTCAAGAGATTAAGTGCTTAGTTATAAGTACCCAAAAAGATAAACCCTTGATCTTACCTTGGATCTTTCACGGAGAAGCTCTGACGTCCGAGTAGTTCTCCCAAAAGATCCCCACCACAGTATACCATATGCTGCTCCTGCTGATCATAGAGCTGCTTCACCATTATGTACTGGCCGAGATAGTGCATGACCTACATGGGAATAGAACACCATAAAGACATCAGTCCAGCTGCTGCCCAAAACACTCATCAATGAGGAGATAGGAAAGCTAGTTGCTAAAGAAAGAGACAGGCACATGCCTGTCGATGCTGTGTGAAGGATCCGACAAGAGAGTTGCCCTCACCAAGTAGGTTCATTCACTTACCAACACTGTGGAAATTAACAAACCATTACTTTTTAGAACTGGTCTAGCAATGGAAAACAGTGGTGAATTTAACCCAGGATTCTCTCAAAAGTTTTCTCCCAAGTCTAAACAAAAGGTTGTGTCATTAGAAGTAATAACTTTTAATTTGTTTGGTCGTAAAAATATCTTTCAAATCCAAGGGCATAAAACCATAGGCTTTGGATACATGCTCATTTCATTTTGGAGGGGAAAATAAAGTACAACATTTAATATGTCCTCAGAAGTATAAAGTAGCAATTATCTTTGTTTTTTAAATGGGTAAGGGTAATTTTAAGATTTTTTTTCTTTTTATTTTATTTATGCATACAGAACTGCAGTACAGGCCAGAGTTGCAGGGGCAGTGAAAGGATTCACCAGAGACAGAGTGGGGAGTAGAACAGGCAGATCGACGAAGTACACTGCTGAGGGGAGTAGAGGGCGGGTCAGGAGAGGTCTGCTGTGCCATCTGGGTCACCTCCAGGGCGGGGATTGAACTCATGCTGAAGTGGCTTTAGCTTCCTAGTGCTGTGCTTTAACCCACTGCACCACCAGGGAGGGCCTGCAACAATTATCTTTAAGTCCAATTTCTCCGGAATTTTAGATATTTGAACAGAAGTTTTTCTAACACTGGTCCCACTACATTGGAACAATGTTGTTCTCTCCATCCCAGACAATGACTGCCAGTAATAATACGACGCTCATCAATTACCAAGGGAAAAACAGGATAGAGAAGAGCATTAACTGGAAGGGAGGAAATTCACGCCTGTCTAAGCTTGCAAGGAAAAAAAATAAATCCACTTTAAGGATACAAAGAAAGATCTTCTAAAGCACTATTCTAGTGTGTATATAAAACTATTCTTAAATCATTTCTGCCTGAATACTGAATATTAAAATACCAGTATTTGGCCCTCCCTGGTGGCGCAGCGGGTTAAAGCACAGCACTGAGAAGCTAAAGCCACTTCCGCATGAGTTTGAATCCCGCCTGCCCCGGAGGTGACGACATGGCGTGGCAGACCTCTCCTGACCCGCCCGCTGCTCCCCTCAGCAGTGTACTTCGTTGATCTGCCTGTTCTGCTCCCCACTCTGTCTCTGGTGAAGCCTCTCACCCTCCGCACCTCTGGCCTGTACCCCAGTTCTGTACAAATAAATAAATAAATCTTTAAAAAAAAAAAAATACCAGTATTTAAAATGTTTAAATTGGGAAATTCCTTTATGCACCAGTCAATGCTCATGATGTAAACAGACTGTATCCAAGCTTTCCCCCAGTAAAACAGGATGTCACATTATTAAGGGAAATAGCATAATTCATTCTAACAATTTTACTAATATTTTTTAACAAGTTTGGGAAAAGTTTAACTACTCAAAATTTGAGATATGTAGTCCAAAATGGTACACTTATTTCAAAATGAAGGCAGTATAAATGTTCTAGAAATCTGAAATGCATTCAGGTTTGTTTCCTTGAGAGGTATAATGGCTCAGGAATGTAGCATTACTAAAAGCTGTTAAGACTTTTAGTGAAAGTCAAAAGGAAAATTGGTAATTTGGTCTCTTATATTTTGGAAGGATTAGGTATTTATCCTACTAAATAAATGCAAGCAACTGATAAAGTTTAACATTTTATTATGCAGTCTTTTCCACTTAAAAGATTCAATGTGTTTTTGTTTGAAAAAACCTTAGGAGCTAAGTAAGTTATTTAAATGCATAAACATTTAAAATCATTCACAGTGCTCAGAATAGTATTTGACACATTTATAATGAAAAACTATTGCATTTAATTCCTGCCTAGCAGTACACCCTGTAAATCACAGTGTCATTTTTTTTAATCTTGTACATGCTCTGCATTTTAACTCTGAGATCAATGAACTCATGGTTAATCTTGCTTAGCTGACAGTATACTTTAAAAGGAAACTGAAAGGAAATATGAAGTTCAACTTTGCTCAATGGGCTTTAAAACAGAGGAAACAAGCTGCTTCCACGGTACTCCTGGAACAGAACTTCCTTTTTGAGGCTGATCTCAGAACCACATATTCACTGGCTTCTGTTTCTCAGCTGCTCTACAACTGAGACCTTTCAGGGATGGCTAAGACCTTTCCATAATGGCTAAGACCTTTCCTTGATGCCTTACCTCTTTAACAGTGAACATTTCACCTTGTGCACCTGCTGCCTGCAAGATCTTCAAAAGTGGCAATTTTGGTCGTACCTAATATAAATAAAAAATATTTACATTTCAATTAGATTGAATTCTGGAGCTCTAGAGAGCAAGAACTCTTTTTAAACCTTTTTTCAACAAACCCTAGTAGAGACTTATCTATTAATGTACAATCTAACTGCCAATGATCAGAATTACTACTTGTTACCGTCCAGAAAAATCACTAGGATGGCTATGCAGATATGGATGTTAAGTGAGGATTGAGAGAATTTATGCTCTAAGTTGACGAGAATGTAAAATGGCTCTGGAAAAGTATGAAATTCCTCAAAAAATTAAAACATTTAATTTCCAGATGACCCTTCATAAACAACTGAACACCAATGTTCACAGCAGCATTATTCACAACAGAAGACAGCCTTCCCATCAAATCCATATTCTACCTTTACCACAGATTAAGACACACAATACTACCCATTGTGTGATGTTCATGAAAACACACAACAAAAGTATACATTTCTGTATGTTAGAAGAAAAGGTATGGAACAAGACACACCAAATTAATAATCGGTGTTTACTAAAGAAGAAGGGATTCTGGGATTAAGGAGACGGTCAAAAGATTCTTTCTGTATAGATAAATACATGATAAAATAGGGACTTTTTTTTAGAATACACTTGCTGTATTGAAAATTAGCAATATATATCAATTGATATATATTGATTTAAAACTTGATTTAAAAAAACTATTTACAGTGAAGTGACGAAAACAGAAAATTAATATAACTTGGCCCCAGACTATCCACTCGTCACCCATATCCTAACATGTTAATTTTCAAAATATATTACTGAGCAACTGTAACCTCCAACTATTTATTTAATTAGTAATCAATTCAAATGCAGGAATGGGGACTCCCTGGTGGAGCATATGGTTAGTCTCAGCACTATGAAGCTATAGCTGCCACTGAAGCACGAGTTCAATCCCCAGCCACATAGTTCAGCAGACCTCTCCTTTCTTGCCCACTGCTCCCCCTCAGCAGTGTATTTCAGTAGATCTGCCTGTTCTGCTCTCCTCTCTGTCTCTGGTGAATCCTCTCACTTCCCCACCTCCCACACCTCTGGCCTGTACCCCAGTTCTTTTGTGCATAAATAATCTTTTTTAAAAAGGCAAATTTATTAATGTTGACACTGTTTACTATGTTCCCTAATATGACATTTTAAAAATAATCACTTCTGCTCTGTATAAAAATCCTAGAGTCAGGACTTTTAGTTACATGCCCATTCCAATTTTTTAAAAACTTAAAACAGAAATGCCTAAAAATTATTTACCTGATTAACTTGTTCTGGAGTGATCCTGCAAGCACTGTCAGAGGTTGAACACTGGGCAGAGGTGGGAAATGATGTCATTTTGGCAGTGAAGAATTTGCAGTTTGCTAGTAAGTCTAAAAAAAATAAATAATTGTTTTCTAAAATAAAAATTCCCGCTTTGGCATTTTACTCTGCAGTTAAGAGTAAAAAAGACACAGATATCAGAGTACCCACAAAATGTAATACATCCACGATGAGGTTCATAACACCTGCCTGATCACATTCTAGTTTAGATCCTGCAAAAGCCTCAAGCACACAATTAAGAGTAAGAACCACCTAAGCTTCCTTCAGGTGAAATCTGAAACAGAAACAGGTTCAGGCATGCTCCAATCCCCACACCTGTGATAATGAGTAAACTGTCCAAGTCCAACTTACAATCATTATCTCCCCAATGGAGATCTGATAGCTTCTCATTATTTCCTTCCCTCTTAGATAGTACTCAAGAAGCACCCTCAGGAAGAGATGCAGGACTGGCGGAATTACCAAGATTAAGTAGTAGCTTTAAGAGTCCAAGAGACGAGCAAGGAAAACCTCTGCAGCGTGCTGGAAGCCTGTCCTGGCAAGGGGTCATAGGGAAGGGGGAGTCAACATAACATGAGACGGAGCCGCTTTCAAATACGCCAACCCTAAAGAATACAGGAACTAAATACAAAGTGGGTTAAACCAAGGTAGGCACATATCAAGGAAAGAAATAACATGAGTTGAAAGAGTGTAAGATTTGATTAAATTTTTTCACTTCTAACTTTTCTCCAGAAAAAGAAAAGGCAGATACATTTTTAAAGAAAAACTTGCTTGAGCTGAGGCAATTTAAGTGTTAAATTTTGAGCTGACAGCAGCTTTCTAGTCCACCTGTAACTCTGCGGTTGTCTTTCTTCTTTTCCTAGTAAACCTGTCCTTTTAAAAAGTATAAAAACAAAAACCACTTCACGCTGACATGACTGCCCAACATTCAGTTTAAAAAGGTGGCAGGTCACTGCCTAACATCTTGTTTACAGAACCTATTCCAATGGATGACTAAGGGTGTCATATTTAGACAAAAAGGTGCCACATCCTTACAATGATTGTTTCACAATTCCTGGAAAGAGGGGATACTCTGCCCCAGGACCCTGGATTTACAGATGATGAAAAACCCTGACCAAGGTCTCACTGCACGGCTCTGGGTGGAGATTTAAGACGCTAAAGAGATGTGATGGAGCCTCCCTGATGGCACAAGGGGTTAAGTCTCAGCACTATGAAGCCATTCTACAGAGAACTGACCCACAAGGCACCGACCTCTCCTGTCTCCTGTCTCATCCGCTGCTCCCCTCAGCAGTGTATTTCAGTAGGTCTGCCTGTTCTGCTCCCCACTCTGTCTCTGGTGAATCTTCTCACATCCCTGCACCTCTAGACTATACCCCATTTCTTGTATAAAAAAATTTAAGTGGGCGCTCCCTGGTGGCGCAGCGGGTTAAAGCACAGCACTGAGAAGCTTGAGCCACTTCCCCATGAGTTTGATTCCCGCCTGCCCCGGAGGAGATCCACATGGGAGGAAGACCTCTCCTGACCTGCCCGCTGCTCCCCTCAGCAGTGTACTTCGTGGATCTGCCTGTTCTGCTCCCCGCTCTTTCTCTGGTGAATCTTCTCACCCTCCGCATCTCTAGCCTGTACCCCAGTTCTATATGAATAAATAAATCTTTAAAAAAAAAAATTAAGTAATCCTATGGTATAGGTATTATGCTTATTTTTACAGACCAGGCAAGAGAAATGTTATTTGCCTAAAGTCACACAGCAAATTGTTTGGGGTCAAGATTTCAAACTCAGAAGAATTCTGAAGCCCCTTTTAGATATCAGATTAGATTGGGGCCTCCCTAGTGGCAGAGGGGTTAAAGACAGTACTGTCAATCAACTGCCAGCCACTGCAGCAAGAGTTGGATCCCTGATCCCTGATGCAGGGCCAAGAAGCTGACCCACATGGCACAACAGACCACTCATGTCTCACCAGCTACTCCCCTCAGCAGTGGATTTCAGCAGATCTTCCAGTTCTGCTCCCCATCTGTTGTAAGTGAATCCCTGGTTTCTGGTGAATCATCACCTGTACCTCTGCCCGATGCCCCAGTTCTTGCACACAGAAGTAAGTCTTTAAAAAGTATATTATTACATTAATTACAATCCTTTTCTTCAAGACATATTATCATTGTTCATTCAAGCACAACCTGCTTTTACTTGATTTTTTTCCAAAGATTTATTTATTTATGCATACAAGAACTGGGGTACAGTCCAGAGGTAAAGGGGTGGGGAAATGATTAACCAGACAGAGTGGGGAGCAGAACAGGCAAATAAACTGCTGAAGGGAGCAGTGGATGGGTCAGGATAAGTCTGCCATGCCATGTGGTCAACTCCCTGGCTGGGGATCAACTCGCTTAGCACAGTGCTGTTTTAACCCTTTGCACCACAAGGCAGGGCCCTTACTTGATTCTTTTTTACTTGACAATACCCACAAACTAAGACTTTGACAATGATCTACACTTAATCATAGCCTCCATCCCATTCCTCTGCCTCCCCCAACAATCATCCAAAATCCTGTTTTCATTTTCTCCCTGTTTTTATGCGTTTCAATGCTACCTCAAAATGGAACTCTAAAAAGTACATATTTTTATTTTAGTTGGTTTCAACTTTAAGAAAACTCCCTTAAGTATGTTATTGTAATTTCAGTGATTTTTGTATCACAATAATTTCTACCACGTCACTTTAAAATTGAACTGTAGTAAAAATTCACCATTTTAACTACTTTTAAGTGTGTAATTCAGTGACAGTAAGTACATTACACTGCTGTACACCATCACCACTAACCATTTTCATCATGTTAAACTAAAACTCTGTACTCAATACACAATAACCCTTATTTCCTTTCCCAAGAGTCTGGTAACCTATTCTACATTTTGTCATTATGAACAAGCCTATTGTAGGCACCTCATATAATTTTAGCTTTTGTCCTTTATGTCTGGATTACACCTTAGTGGAATATTTTCAAGGTTCACTCATACAATAGTAAACTTTTTACTTCACTTTTTATTTATCCTGACTGCTAAATAACATCCTAGGGTATGATGGGGCATTTGAGTTGTTCCTCGGTTTTCACTATTATAAATAAACATTCTTTTCACTATTATAAATAAACATTAACACTCTTGTATGTTTTACTTGATATCTATGTGCCAAAAAGAATCTCTTAGGCATATCTACGAGAGAAATTCCTGAGTCACAGCATATATAAATCTAATACAGAATTCAACTTAAATGTATGCACCAGTTTACAATTCTACCAAAATGTCTAAGATATTCTTTAATACTACCTCTCATCAAAAATTTGGTATCATAAAACTTAATTTCTGCCAAATAGGCATCACCTTGATTTATATTTCCTTAATTGCTCATGATGCTGAATGACTTTACATGTTTGTCAGCCACATGTATTTCTTTTGTGACAGCTGCTCAAATCTTTGCATTTATTTTCTACAGTGGTTTATTATAGTTTTAATATTAACTCTTCGTCAATTGGATGTTCTACAAATATATTCTCCCAATTTGTAATCTCCATTCTAGGTGTTTTTATGAGCAAAAACTTAATTCTAAACAAATCAAATTTATATTTATCAATCACCTCTTTTTTTTTTTAAAGATTTATTTATTTGTACATACAGAACTGGGGTACAGGCCAGAGGCTCAGGAGCGCCGAGAGGCTTCACCAGAGACAGTGGGGAGCAGAACAGGCAGATCGATGAAGGACACTGCTGAGGGGAGCAGTGGGGGAGGTCAGGAGAGGTCTGCCATGCCATGTGGTCACCTCCAGGGCAGGCGGGAATCGAAGTCATACGGAAGTAGCTTTGGCTTCTCAGTGCAAGTGCTTTTACCGCTGCGCCACCAGGGAAGGTCCACCTCTCATTTTTTAGTCAATGACCTCCGGCTGGTCTGGCTAAGTAATCTTTTTTTCCCCAAGGTCTTATGTTAATCTATACTGTCTACTAAGACTGGCAAGAGCTACTAAAATTTTTAAACTTCTATGACCTTTAAATCCTAATCCATCCAACTTATTTTCTTTTTATAGATTTTACAAAAGTGTCCCTTTTTTCTTTCCATTGCAATGGCCATTTTTCCCAGCTCAATTTACCAACAATACCTTTTTGGACGATCACCTCTGTCACTTATCAAATTTCCCTTACATGCATCTCAGAGTTCTCTATTCTATTGTACTGATCAATCTTTCTGTGTTCATACAACTCAACACTTTCTTAGTCTTGCTATCCAGTATGGCAACCTTCCCCTCCCTGTTCCTCTTAAGAAGTGACTAGCTTATGCATGGTCCCTTAACTCTTTCATATAAATTTTAGTATCATCAATTTCTATGAAAAATCCCTGTTGGGATTTTGGGATTTTGAATGATACTACATTTATAATACAGATCAAAATGTTTAAATTATGGAACAGATACCTAGTTCTCTCTTTTCCTTTCTCTCTTTTATTTTTATCTTAGCCTTTTAGATGGTAAATGATACCAAGGAATCTGGCCGTATTTATTTCATATATCTCTGATAACATTTCCTGAATTTGAACCTCTCAGTATTTCCTCTAGAACTGTCTTCCAGACAGGTCTTTGTGTGGCAAGGCACACAAGACCTCATATGCCAGGACATACGTTTATTATTCCCTCCTGCTAAAAGGAACGTAGTTAGGTGTAAAATTGAGTTTCATTTCAAACCTCTGAAAAAACACTTGTCTTCTTGCATTAAGTGATGCTATCTAAAAACTGTGATGTCAACTCAATTTTTGCTCCCTGAGGTGTAACCTGTTCTGAGACTCCTATAATTTTCTTTTGCTTTTATTTTCTTAGGTTTCACTATGAGAAGCAACCTTTTCTTATCTTTCATCTTTAATACTAAGAAACCTTTTAATCTGAGGATTATTCTATTTTTCTAATTCTAAATTAAGAAGTATTTTCCATTATTTCTTTAAGCACTTACTTTTCAAGTTTACTTCTAAGACTCATCATTTGGTGTGAGTGCTTTTATATCTATTATTTCCCCAAACCAAAATGTGTTACTTCTTGAGTACTTCACTGCAACAGGCTCTTAACTGGTCTCTCAATCCAAGATCCACACTATAGGCAGGATTTAAACAAACCAAAGCAAAAAATCAAGTCTACCAAGCTAGGCCCTGCACACTAACTTAATTGCTGCTCTCAAAAGAAATAGTCTAGCCCCTCCGGCCACACTGTCTTTCCCATGCTCTGTGCTCCTGAGTCACCCTGATGTTCTGGTTTCTCTACCAAGGCCACTGCTTCCTGCTTCTGGGCTTTTGCACAGTTGTTACCTCACTGGGAGCACTGTGAGTCAGTCAGTACAAGGCTGACTCATCCTAAACCTTCCAGTCTCAGGTTAAATGCCATCTCCTACAACAACCATCATTAGATGTAAAACCATTTGACAGAGGGGCTGGGGAAACTCTAGCACACATGCACTTGGACCGGACTTACCTCTAAAAGAAGGTCACTCACACATCATATACTTTCTGATGTGATGTATCAGGAGGAACCAGTATCTCCTATAAAATATTCTTGACCCTGTATTTATATAGTATATATCAAATAATCAAAATCTAATCAAACCTCTGATCGAATTAACTACCTATTTGTAGGAAAACTGAAGGGTAAAGAAAAAAGTACCTAATAATCTAAAAGGACTTCTGTTGGATAGGACAGTTGAACTGAGGAGATTGTTATAGACTTCAAAAACATACACCTAAAAAATATACCCCTAGACCTCTCTGGTGGCCCAAGGGGTTAAGCTTCAGCACTAAGAAGCCAGCACAGCCACTGTAGCTGTTGTACTAGTTGGATCCTGGCCAGAGAGCTGATCCAATGACACAGCAGACCTGGTAGCACAAGGGGTTAAGTCTCAGCACTGCTGCATGACTCGGATCCCCAGCCAGGAAGCTGACCCACAAGGCACAGCAGACCTTTCCTGAGCATCCCGCTGCTCCCCTCAGCAGTGTACTGCAGTCAATCTGCCAGTTCTGCTCCCCACTGTCTCTGATGAATCCTCCCATCCTCCCGCACCTCTGGCTTACACCCCCAGTTCTTGTATGCATAAATAAATCTTCAAAATAAAATAAACCCAATACAGCATGTGATCCTGTTCAAGTCTGTATTCAAAAAGCCATCTGCAAAATGTCATACTTTTCTAAACAATCAGGAAATTATGAACACTGTACTATGTAGTATATACTATTAGAAACTACTAACTGTACTAGAAAGGCAAGGAGTCTTTTTTTTTTTTTCTTTTACATTAAACTGATAAGATACACATTCTGGCATATTTAAAGGTAAAGTGATATATCCGTGATATGCTTTACACATCTCATTTTAACGACAAGATAAATGGGGGTCGGGGGGGTACTGAATTGAAATAACAGATTTTAATTTCCTTATTGAATGAGAAAATCACAAAAATTCTGTGTTTATCTACTATATCTTGAAAAATCTAGTCCTCTTAGAAAATCCTCCAGTCATACTAAAAGATTCACTATGACTGCTTTAGCTCTCTGAATAAGTTTCTTTCCAATTAATAAATGGTAGTGATAAGTAAAGAGAATTGAAAAGAATCTGTCTGCTTTAAATGAAACAAGTAAGAAAGCCTATTTTCTGCTGTTGCATTCAAAAGGGTCCTCCCTCAAAAGAATGTACTTACTGAAAGAAAAACCAATTTTACAACTTCCACAGCATAACAGAAGTAGGACGCTCCCAAGGTAGGACACAAAATGCCCTGTATTTTACAGAGCACTTAAGATCAAAGGAATGGCCTACATGGGCATGCAGAAGAAGCGTGCTGGGCCCATAAAACAAAAGCTGCTCAGAAGTTAGCAGAACTAATCATTTTTACCAATTCTTTAGAGCCCTAGGAATCTCCATTAAAAACTACTGTCTGGGCCCTCCCTGGTGGCGCAGCGGGTTAAAGCACAGCACTGAGAATCTAAAGCCGCTTCCACATGAGTTCGATTCCTGCCTGCCCCGGAGGTGACCACATGGTGTGGCAGATCTCTCCTGACCCACCCGCTGCTCCCCTCAGCAGTGTACTTCATCCATCTGCCTGTTCTGTTCCCCACTCTGTCTCTGGTGAAGCCTCTCACCGCCCATGAGCCTCTGGCCTGTACCCCAGTTCTGTATGCACAAATAAATAAATCTTTAAAAAAAAAAAAAAAAACTACTGTCTGGTTCATGCCCTTTGCAGCAACATGGATGGAGCTGGAAGGGATCGTGCTTAGTGAAATAAGCCAGAAAGAAAAATACCAGATGGCTAGATGGTTTCGCTCATAGCAGCAGCATAAAGTACCCTGGGGGGTGGGGAGGAATAATAATAATAATGAACAACTATATACAGAGACATTTTACCGGGATGGAGTGGGGAATGGGATCAAAAATGGGGGGAAAAGGGAGAGAGTGCATGGGACCATGGCGATGGCACACGGGTAATTTAGCGATGGGAAACCCACAGGTATTACAATTCAGATGGAAAAAGGCAAAAAATGATGTAAAAATAAACTATTATAATAAAAAAATAAAGCTACTGTCTGGTTCTATTTCAACTACATACATGGAAATAATTAGCTTTTTTCTTTTAATAAAGAAACTACTATTCAGAGCTTTTAGATCTGACAAGCCTGCTACACTCCTACCAAGAGTAAGCTGTAACAAGTGTAAACTCCAGCACAGCTTGTAAAGGAGACAAGCAAAAAATCTACCAAGGGGCAACTAATAAAAGAAACAGTTGTATAATCCAGTAGTGCAAGATTATGCAAGTCTTTAAAGTATGATATGTGTATGTGTATATATATGTATATATGTGTGTATGTATATATACACTATACATATGTGTGTGTGTGTGTGCGCGCTTTATGGAAAGCTGTCCGTGACATTGGTACTTGAAAAATTTAGGGTGCAGAACATAAATACAAAATGATCCTACTGTTGTTTTAAAACGTTATGTATAAAAATAGAAAGTATATTTCTATTAATTAACAGTAATTAACACTACTTCCCAGTAATTTACAGTAGCTAACTGAGACGGTGAGAAGTTAGTAAAGATGGGCAGTTTAACTTTACACACTTCTGTACTGTGCATTTTTTCAAACATCCTACACGATCTTTTTTTGGTCTATTAAAAACGCTGTGATCATGACCAGTACTTAACGTAAAATACTTATGACCCAAAGTTGTTTTTTCGATACTGGGAAGTAGAACTTTATACCCAAAGTCTGTGACCGATTCTTGTTCCACGTGTAGCATCCCAAGGCACACAGGGACTTCCCAGCACAAGCCTCCCCACCCCCCAACCCCTTAAACTGCGGTTTTCAAGCTTTGTGGGATACGAAACCCAAATGCGAGGCTGATGACAGAAACACATTCCTGAACTCCATCTCCAGATACCGTCTGGGAGGTCTGGGTGTGCCCCAAGGGAGCATTCTTCAAACCAGCACTCAGGCTCTCTGAGACAGATGACCCGCAGCCCCGAAACGCTCAGAAGACGCCCCAATGTCTTTCTCCACGCTTCCCAAATGCCTCAACATCCCTTCAACTGAGTCCAATCAAACGTCGTCAGTAGCACTATTTCGATTTTAGGTTTGGAGCCCATTAGCTGAACTGGTTACACGTCAACCTCACCTCCATTTCATCTTCCCGGGGGGTGGGGGGGCTGCTCCCCTCCCCTAACCCTGCCCACACACCCTCCCCCACAGCCCTTCTTCCGCCCAGAGCGCCCGTCTCCCACGCCGCCATCCTCCCCCCGCAAGCTCCGAGAAGGGCGCGCCGCGGCCAGCTCCTACTCTCCGCCCCCCGGCACCCCGCAGACGAAAGTCCAGAGCCACACCTCACGGCCGCTCCATGAGTCGCTCCCCCGCCGAGCACGGGGCCGGGGGCGTCAGTCCCAGGCCCCGAGGCCTCAAGGCCTCAGCAGCATTTTGAAACGGCGAGGAAAGAGAGCGCAACTTCCGGCCTCTCCAAAGCTTCTCGAAAGAGCTTCCGGTGAGACCTCCGGAAGCATCGATGGAGCAACTGGCGGGCTAGAGAGCTAGGCCAGCCGAGCTCTTATACCATAGAGTAGAGACTGGTCCGGATAGAGAGTCGCAGGGAGTGGGTGGCGAGGCGTTTTACGGTTTCAAGAACGTGCGTTTTGCGACCTCGCGGGGTCTTGAGATATTTGTGGACGAGACCAAGGAGAGCGGAAAACTGGAGGAGGAGAAACCCGAGGCAGATAAAGGGCTCTGCTTGGCGTGAATTATTCTTACTCCAGAGTGGAAACGGAGCTTCGTGGCGTCGGCACTTTGGGGGCAGCTAAGACTCGTATACACAGGGCACCTACAAGCAACATGAGAATTGCCAATCCCACACGAGCAAAGCACGATGAGATGGGGTCGTCTAATCTTTGCAATATAAAAGTGACTTCAGACCCCTCGGCTGACTGTCTTCAACTTCTTGCCGCGACCGAGCGGCATTAACTCCCCCTAAATACCTCATTCCTGTTACCTCGGGGCGATTCTAAATAGTGAGAGGTGGTTCTGAGCTGAAATTATATTATTTTGCAATTTTTATTAGTTTTAGTTCTGCTCTTTGGAGAACTGAGTGGTGTCTGTTCGGTTATTTGAAGACAGCCACATCCCTAACCCTCTTCGATTTTCTGCAAACTAAATAAATCCCCACAGAGCCTCCAACTACTTTTATTTGACACGGCTTCAAGCCTCCTGCCACCTAGTCATCTTCTGAACAAGTGCTCACTTGTCCCGTTTAAAATGTGACTCCCTGAGGTAGACAAGCTCTCAGGCAAATGAAAATGGGGCAGTGAACTTTAATTTGCATATTACACCTTCATCTATTTCTGGCTCTGGGAGTTTCAGGGTTCTGTAAAAAATTACTTTTTTTTTTCACAATTGTTCCAAGAAAGCTTTAAGTGAGCAACCACCGCTCTCAAAATAATAAGGGGGTAAGGGCTGCTCTTGTAGGTGAAACACTGTCAACTCTTTCACCTGTACAGTTAGTTTTAATATATACAGTTTTTAATTCTGAATAGGTATTTGTTTCTTTTAAACAGTCTCAGTTTGGATCCCTTCCTCCTGTATGCTGGACTCTTGAATTATGATCCTTCCTAGCCATACAGGTTAAGATCAGCATATATTAGTTGAATGTATTGTTGGTGCCAAGTACCAACCTAGAAGTGTCCAAACCTAGAGGACCTGGAATGTGTCTAAAGGAAGAGTCAGACTGTCCAGATCAAAACAATGTGGTAAGTGCAGTGACACGTGGGCTGCAGTTACTTTCTCCTGCAAGGCTGAGAGAGATGAATTCTTTCACTTTTGCAGTCTCCAAAATTTTGATCAACTTATTTATCTTTATAACTAAAGCCTTAATAAGAGGCCTCCCTGGTGGTGCAACAGGTTACACAGCACTGCAAGCTGGCGGCAGCTGCCTACCACCTCAGTGTGGTTGGATCCCCTGCCCTGGAGGTGACCCATATGGTGTGGCAGACCTCTCCTGCCCCACCAGCTGCTCCCCCCAGCGGTGTACTTTGTCAGTCAGCCTGTTCTGCTCCCTACTCTGCCTCTGACGAATCCTCTTACCATCCAGGCACCTCTGGCTTGAATAAAACCTTTTCCCTCAGGCTTTACAACTGATTCATGGAAATCATTCATCTTCCAGTGTTATTCTTAAAACCCCAAAAAGCCCGTCTGTTAGTGGTCAACATTTGGCAACATTATCTGTAGTTTCTTTTATCAGTCAAATAACCTTACCAAAAAAGAAAATGAAATTGGTTTAACACACTCAGAAGTGACTTAGTAATCACCACTTCTTTCTCTTAGAACTATACTCACAAACTACTGAATAGAGAGACAGGAAATCTGAGGTTAGTCTCATTATTTATAGAAACCCAAAAGCTACAGAGTTCTTCAGTTTCCCAATCTGTAAAACAAACTGGTTGAATCAGATGATTTTTCTGATGTACCTTGTAGTTCTAAAGGAATTAAGATGAGTATTTTCAGTCTATAGACCTTTTCTTAAAATAGCAAGCTACAAGGAGGAATATAGGAGAACAAAATAAGGTTTCAGATCAGGGAAGTAAACAAACAAAATTAACAGGCGGCTATAAATCAGAGACATCTGCAGGGGATAAAGAGGGAAGAGCCCTGCCAGTGTCCAGTGGGTTAAAGCACAGCATCCATGCCCAGAGAGGTAACCCCCAGGGTGCACAGATCTCTACTCTCTAACCCACTGTTCCTCTCAGCAGTGTACTTCATAAAACTGTTCTGCCCCCCACTCTGTCTCTGGTGAATCCTCTCACCACACCTACACCTCTGGCCTGTACCCCAGTTCTGTATGTATAAATAAATAAAATCTTAAATTTAAAAAAAAGTGGAAGGAAGAGCACTAGGGACTATACCTGAGAGGAGAAAGTTTACAATGCACAAAAATGAACAATTATGTCAAATATATATTAATTGATTAATTAATTAGAAGCTATTTCAGATATACAAAAAAGATAAAAAGAAGAGTGTAATGTCTGTCCTTTCTCCCACCACTTTTCCTAAGGAATAATACTTTAACTGTATAAAAAAGTTCCCTACACTCCCTTTTCTGATAGCGTCTCTCCCCTTTAATTTCCACTTCCCCAAGCATGGTATTTAGTCCTGCTATACATTTCTTCAGATGTCTAGGATTTTCATGTGTAATGTTTCTTTAAAATATCTTCTGCTTTTAAAATTTTATAAGTGGGTGGCATCCAACTATATGTATTGTACTGCATTTGCATTTTCTTCCAGCATGGCGAAGTTCAGTGATATTAAATCATATAGCTATAGTTAGCCAATTTTCGATCTTGTGATGTTCTTGTATAGTATACTAAGATATTGAATTTTGTAATATGGTAATTATTAGTTTTCTAGGGCTGCCATAATAAAATATAACAGACCGGGTAACTGAACAACAGAAATTAATTTTCTCAGATTTCTGGGTGCGAAAAGTCCAAGATCAAGGTACCAGCAGGTCTGGGTTTTTTTGTTTTTTTTTAAGATTTATTTATTTGTGCATACAGAACTGGGGTACAGGCCAGAGGCTCAGGGGCGGCGAGAGGATTCACCAGACACAGAGTGGGGAGCAGAACAGGCAGATCTACAAAGTACACTGCTGCGGGGAACAGCAGGCGGGTCAGGAGAGGTCTGCCATGCCATGTGGTCACCTCCCGGGCAGGCGGGGATCGAACTCATGTGGAAGTGGCTTTAGCTTCTCAGTGCTGTGCTTTAACCTGCTGCGCCATCAGGGAGGGCCAGGTCTGGTTTTTTTTAATCACACTTCACTATGGCTTCACATTTTTGTCTCTTGACCTGTGTTTTGTGTGCCCTACTTTCTTCTTAGAAGGACAGTGTGGCATTTTATTAAGGCCCATTCATAAAACCTCATTTTGTCTTAATCATCCCTGCAAAGAGTCTATCTACAAATATGCTGAGGACTATGAGATGGGAGGGAGGAGCACTTCAGTACAAAAGTTTGGGGAGGGGGACAAAATTCAGCCCATGTAATGAATGCTCCACAATTTTTTCTTTAAATCGTCCCCCTTTGATAAATATTGAAGTGTTTCCATTGTTACAAACAATGCTGCTATTGACGTTCTTGTTCTAATCCCAGTGTGTATTGGAGGGAGGAGAGCTGTGGTCACATACACATTATTCCCTCTATTGGATCATGCCAGAGTAATAGGAGCGTATTTTTGTTGTTGTACATCTTTGCCAGTCTTTGGTGTTATCAGATTACTTAAAAAAACATTCTGAGAAATATGAAATGATTTCTCGTGATGGCTTAATGTATATGTCCATGATGATTAACAAGCCTCATCATTCTTTTCATATTTATTGATTTGTGTTTTTGCATCTATGAGTTGCCTGTTCTTTTACCCATTACGTTATCTGTCTTTTGTTTTTGATTTGTAGAAATTCTCTGTATAATCTGGGTATCAATCTTTTAATCTTTGATTACATACACTGAAAATACCAGTTTCAAACATATAGCTTGTTTTCACTTTTTTTTTTTTTTAAAGATTGTTTATTTGTACATACAGAACTGGGGTACAGGCCAGAGGTGCAGGAGCGGCGAGAGGCTTTACCAGAGACAGAGTGGGGAGCAGAACAGGCAGATCAGAGGAGGTACACTGCTGAGGGGAACAGCGGGCGGGTCAGGAGAGGTCTGCCGCGCCATGTGGTCACCTCCGGGGCAGGCGGGAATCGAACTCATGCGGAAGTGGCTTTAGCTTCTCAGTGCAGTGCTTTAACCCGCTGAGCCACCAGGGAGGGCCTGTTTTCACTTTTTGTGTTTTCTTTCAATGAACAGAAGTTTTTAATTAAGTCAAATTGATTATTTTTGCGTGTTTTGTTTCTTTTTTTTTGTATGTTATTTAAAAGATTCTTTGCTGTCTTTGGGCCATAAAGATACTTTTATATATTTTCTGCCAAGAGGTCTAAAGATTTTCTTTTCACATTAGGCCTGTAATTCACTTAGAATTGATTTTGTTGCATAGCATAAAAATCCAGTTTTTTTTTCTATTTGAATAATGTGACTGTAAAGTTAATGTCAGTCTAATCTTAGGAATTAATCTTTCCTTCTTATTGAGGGTTTTATAGACAAAGTATCATTGAGTAGGATCTTAAAAAGTTAATATAATTTCAAGAGGCATAGAAAGGAGAACAATTTGAGAAGCATGGCATAAATAGTGGAGAGAAGAAAGGGAGGAGGAATTAGAAGACATAGTCTGACAACTTAGGAGAGTCCACTTGGATTGAAATGGACTTGATTGTGCATTGAATCACATTGTCCAAGGGCCCTCCCTGGTGGCACGGTGAGTTAAAGCACAGCACTAAGAAGCTAAAGCCACTTCAGCATGAATCCTGGCTCAGGGAGGTGATCACATGGTGCAGCAAACTTCTCCTGACCCTCCCGCTGCTCCCCTCAGCTGGGTACTTC